GGATAGTTACGAACAAGACGATTCTATCCAAATTTATAGATGCCGTTGCCATAAAAATGACACGCTGTAATCAGGTGAACTCAATGGCATTTTGTAGGTGCCCTTCAAACAAAGGAACGACAAATTCTTCAAGTCTTCTCTTGAAATAAATATAATCCCCAATAAATCATACTCCAACCCCATTACCATCTCCCCAAGCTAAAACTAGTTTCCCTCTAGAGGCTGTGCAATGAGCATCATCAATAACTGAAATTGCAAGTAGACTCTGATATGATTAAGTNACACTCTCTCTCTCTCTCTCTCTCTCTCTCTCTCTCTCTCTCTCTCTCTCTCTCTCTCTCTGTGATCCCAAGGATAGTTACGAACAAAACGATTCTATCCAAATTTATAGATGCCGTTGCCATAAAAATGACACGCTGTAATCAGGTGAACTCAATGGCATTTTGTAGGTGCCCTTCAAACAAAGGAACGACAAATTCTTCAAGTCTTCTCTTGAAATAAATATAATCCCCAATAAATCATACTCCAACCCCATTACCATCTCCCCAAGCTAAAACTAGTTTCCCTCTAGAGGCTGTGCAATGAGCATCATCAATAACTGAAATTGCAAGTAGACTCTGATATGATTAAGTACATCTCCGTAAATTTGTATTTCTCCATAGTACAATTCAACTCGTATATAAGACCTCTTGAAACGACATTTTCATTCTTACCGGTGTGCAGGCACACTACAGAACCCTCAACTCCCCTCAAATTTACATCTGTTCCACTTTGGTGATCCTCCCTCCCTTCGTTGCACAAAGTATATATTCAGTGGCTCTTCCCACGAACCCGTACATACAACCAATCCTAGAGTTGTAACTGCACTGTTCGTCAGTGGAGGAAAGTCGGGTATATCCAACTTGCTCAAGTACAACGACAGCTAGGATGAGGAAGGTGGATAGTCACGTATACACTCCACTTACTTGTCTACCCCTCAGCAGTTGGCCCGTACATTCGAAAAGTCATCTCAAAGGTTTCAAAAAAGAAAGTTGACCAAAAAAGAGGACGAAAAAAAAATTGTAAATAAAATTGCATTTTTTTTTGCTACGCCTTTGGTGCCTTTGATGTAAATAAAAGGACAGAGTGGATGGTGAGATGGATGAGACGTCGGTTGTCTGTCTACGGAAAAGTAGAATATTTTATCGCAACTCGGTCACACGGTGTCAGACCAGTGGAGAACCTGGGTCGAATTCGATTGGCATATAGTCATTTGAGTTTACTCTTCTTCTCCCTGTTGGCTCGTGTTCATTCTCGATATCGACGTATCCCATCCCCATGCCAGTGGGATGAAATTGCCGTCTTGGGAAATTTCTGGGCGCTCCATTTGTGCCAACAGGTGAAACATGTCGGCTCGCAATAAATAAGTGATGAGGGATTAATGGATTATTTATAGAGAGTGAGGTGAGATATTGGGATTATCAATTTTTTCATGTTTTTTAAATTTTCGATGTTGGAGGAGTGTCGAGTATTCCGGGGGGAACACGAAGCCGAATTTGAATCAATAATTTCCACGGATTACATATGTTTCCCCATGCCTCACTCCCTTCACCAAAATCCAAACTCCTGCCGGGTACTTACATAGTCAGCCCACGATTAGATTTATGGACTTAATGTGCATACATCCATCGCCCACATTAATATCCACAAATGCCCTCAATTGTGTTGGTAATGTAATAAAACAACATTTAACCCCGTTGCGTCATTAAATTCCGCTGGGGGCATTTTGGTATAAAACCATTAATTTTCCAACATGATTAATCAGTTTGTTGATTGAGGGACGTCAAAATTTTGGTTACTCAATTGCTCTCATCGGCATTTAACTGAAAGCATTCCACCGTGTGCCCTTGCTAATCGGAATTTGATTATCGTCGATGAATGCAGAAAGTTAACTGCAACCGTATTCTACGATACGTCGTCAGCAGAATGAAAACTGCATTTACGTGCTTCAGTAAAAGTCATATCATGGGACTTTCTACGTCATTGACACTTGAATTACTTTTTCTATTTCAATGAAATGTAATAATGTTGAACAGATGAGTTTTCAAAATATTCGGCATTATGTTATCTATCTAATAAGTGAATTACACTGCTGTTTTCACATTTTTCCAATTTTTCGGGCTAAAATCTGTATTTTTCCGAATTCAGGAAATATGTAGGAGACATTTTACTCTGAATAATGCTACAACTGGACTACAACAGACAAAGCTCTTCCATCATTGACATCATTTCATTTTTCTCCTCTTCCTTCATTATTTTTCTTCTGTACCTATTTTCCGCTTGTTATTCACTTGAGTTGGGAGCAAACGGGTCAAGTGTACAGAGTATTCACGTGGCTGATATACTTTTTCACGAGGGATTGGAGAGTGTAACAATGAAGAATGCACCTCTCCTGCGTCCTCATTTTTCTTGTCACAAAAATGTCACATTTGACGATGACAAGTTTTCCACAAAAAAATGGTACCTTGTTCCACCTGATGAATGATTGAGTTAATCATCTGATAAAGACTAAATTGGCTGTAAACGTTTGTGTCAAAGAGAATACACTGGACAGTGCCGATGAATCGATCAGAGAGGAGGAAGAGGAGGAGGAGGAGGAGGAGGTGCACACTGTGGGGTTTATCCACAGTGAATGTTCCCGCACACATGTAATATCGAACCGTCGATCCTCGTCTTGTCCGCTCCTCGCTCAGTCTGCCTTGTCAGTTTGCCCGTGGCAGTCGTGTTAACCACACATGATGTGCATCTGCACATAACAACCACCTAGAGAGCCCTTCTCCAAGTACTTCACATAGACAATGGTTTGTCTCTCTGTGGCACAAACGTTTGATTTACAGTCTTCAAGGAATTTCTCATTTTTTCAAGCTGCAGAAGGGGGGCTCGACAGATGAGAACTGTCGGGCTATTGGAGTCAAGATGTATATAGAGTTTCAGGCGTGCAAGAAACTCTAGATATTCATTTCCATGATTTAAGAACATGAAAGAATATCAAAATATTTGCTCACATCTCTATCGACTTAGGGAGAATGCTTTTCCAGGATAACTGTTTACAATTGCAAATTCCAGAATTTCAAATGAGGAATAACAGAAATGCCGTTCCTTGCATTCATGCCCAAGATATTGGAGAAATTAATCACAAGTTGAAAGCTTCCACTGCAGGAATCTTGAATTACATCTCGAGATATGAAGGATCTGAAAGAACCCTCAAGTGTTGAAATATATTAATCAAAAGCTCATCGAGGTCACGACAGGACATAATCAATCGCCGGGCACGTCGCAGCCTCAGCCAATTCGTCTCGAGAACCCGTTATTTTACCGTCGGCGGTGAAGCCGGTTGGTTGGTTGGGCTCCTCATGGTTTTCTAGTCCCTGCGATATATGTAAATGCGCTGGGCGGTTAGATGGACTGACGTACATGATACGAGTTATGTGTCATAGCTGGCTAGCGGTTATATTATTACTACTATACGGCAGATAGGCCAGTGGCATTTTCCTTGCATCGCGTCATAAATTCATATACAGACTCGCCGCACTCACTCTGAATGCTGTATACTGATGTTCATGGTCCAGAGAGATATGAATATCTTAGCTCTTTGATTGCATTTTCCCTCTAGATGAAATTCTTTCCGTACATTTTTCACATGATATTTCCATCTCATAGTTTATTCAATTGAATGGAAAATTCGAGTGGATCCTGCTCTTTCCATATAGAAGGCAAACTCAAATGAGATGTCAACTACTATTGCTTTTTTTTTTCAAATTGGCCAATCAATTGGCCACAAATATCAATTTATAATAATCAATAGTATTGAGTATCAATACAATATATCGTAGGAATTATTTCACCAAGATGACCGTCTGTTTATCGTGGTCGTTGACCCAGACCTCTTCTACTCTTCACTTAACGGATTCATTTCGCGTTCACTCGTAAAAGCATTTCTTACGATTTTCCGGTCGACAACAAGAAATAAATGTACAAGATACACTATCAAATTCACACATAAAGCAATTAGTCAAGATGAAAAAGAATGATGAAAATCCAACAGAACAGGCCGAGAACAATGGGGTTCTTTCAACACGCTTTATCAATCTAATTCACTTTAACAAACAAAATTTCCTTGGAATTGTGGGAATATGGAGGCGTGAGAGAGCCAACGGTGTCTATGCACCAAAAAACAATGGGCAACTCAGTGAGATGTCGGGCCGAGATTGAAGATTACCTCCAGTGATTGGGATAGAACTGCAAAAACCATTCGCCAACTTTCTGTCTCTTTCCCCTGCGTTCTGTTACACCTAAGCCTTTAAAAGGAGGCTTCAACGGATTGTATACAGCATTGCGCCTTGCAGTTTCTATAGTGAGGATTGCGCAATCTGGGTGAATGTAATCGTTGGGTGAATGCTTCCGTACCGGCATTCCTACGTCACTGGTTCCTCCTTTCATTATTCTGTCAACGTGCGCTCATCAGGAAATATTGTTTCTCAATTCTATTCTCTTTACAGATTCAATTCTCCATTCTCAATTGACAAATCAGTCTTGCAAATCAATATCCATCATCAATAAATTAATTAATAACCTAGCTCGAGGAATGCGTAAGAACTTTGAGCATTTCTTTTTCCCCTCGCGAATGGTGGAATTAAATTTAGGAGTTTTAGTCTTATTCATCGTGGCATAGGACTTATCCTTCATGAACGCTATTGTCCCTACACTTTCACCGGCCGTCGGACGACCTTGTTCAACAAAAAACGCAAACCACAGTTGGAGCTGATTAATTCAGCCAAGAGCATTATTCTAGAGCCTGAACATATGCTTTAATACGACATATTAAAGCCTTCATACTCGAAATAACGGGACGTCTGAGGCTGATTAAGCCCGCCTTCCACCTGTTCCTCATTCTACATCACACAGGTCTCGCGGGCATTCCAGAAATGTTTGTTACTTAAATAATGAGTGGAGCTACTCACATTAATCCTGGATCCTTGCCCATCCTCGTCCTCCGATGGCAATAACAATGGGTTATGCTGTATTTTAGCAATTTATTTTGACTTTCATTCAAGTTCACTGAACATTCATTTTACTGCTCACGTTTCCCGGTTCCTCTCAGATGAGAACAAAAAACACGAGAGAATAGGATTTTAGGGGATTTAACCAACGCCCAAGTCCCACACGTGGATCCTGACGGAATGACAGTGTTGTTATTTTTAATTTCAACAATTTCTCAAAATTCACATCAGCTGCCAATCCATGAGTTTTTGCTACACCACTGGGTCACCACAATGAAATTTCACTCGTTGAATGTTTGACACACGGACTATGATATCTGGGGATGCTACCAGGCGTCAGATATCCTGACAACGAAACCGAAATAGACTCCAATTTAATCAACGGATCGTTCACCCCTGCAGTGCCATGTTATCAGTGAATTTGTTGCTAAACGTATTAAACATTGGAGTTGGCCAAAGGGGTTTGTTGATGCTCTTTTATTAATTGTAAATTATCGGGCCTTCGCCAGCTGTGGCAGCTCGCACCGCGTCCTATTCGCGATGCTCGTGAAAGGCAACTGCACTGTTGTGTGCTGGAGAGAACGAGTGGGGGAAACTGTGAACCTTACTGGTTCAGCCTCGGTTGGCTCGTGTCTAACGCCTTGTCAAGTGCTCTCGGTCACTCTCGGTCTCTGTCCGAGATACAGCGTTCCGGGGATACGGCGGCTTGATCCCGGTTTGTGCGGATTTCGGGGTGCGTGGGAGAACAGGGGGCAGCAGCTGGCGGTGAGTCTTTTTATCAGATGGTTTCTTAATTATCGACGGGATGTTCATTTAATCGAGTTCCATTTTCCATGGAAGATCTTGGCATTTTTCTATTGACACTATTCTATGCCACAGTAACGGTGGAGGGTGTGAATAGACACTGGCGACACTGCCATTTTTAAAACAAATTTCTACTTTTTTCAACAACATTATTACGTGCTTTTATCATGTACAAATACTATACTCTAAACTGATAAAATTAATTTGAAATTACATCGAGGTAAAAGAAAATCACTTGAATGCGATGAGTCAAATTATTGTTATGGGTTGGAAGTCATTAAAAACGCAAATTAATTGTAAAATTTAGCTTTATTGTGAAAATGAACTTTTACATATGGCTGGTAATTGTGTTCGTCAATACACGGCGGTTAACCGTAATCTACTAGTGAATGAAAAAACATTAAACTTTATATTTACGTAAAAAGGCAAAAAATGGTAAATAATTCTCCTATAAACTTCAGTACCCTCAGAATCCTCAAAAGAAACATCTCCATCTCACAATGAACTGAATATTAACAGAATATCAAACAAGAACACTCGAATTTGCCTTAGTGATACTCCTTACCATTATACAGAAAGAAAAATTATTTGAGTAACGAATATGATGCTTATGCTATTAAAATCAATGGTCTATACAATTCTTGTTTTGTTCTGTCAGTGAATTTCCCTGATTTTGCTCTTCGAAATTGTTCCGCTGATATTCAATTAGCGAGAATGAGGACGAAAAAAGAAATGACCGAGTGAAAACCCACAAATGAAAAACAAAAAAAAACGAACAATGAATCAAAATGACAAGTTTTCTCCATTAAATTGACCTTTTCGTCTTCATTTTCATAGTTATTAACTCGATCTCTCTAAATTGGTAATGACAAAAATAGACTTTGAAAATAGAACGATCGATTCCAAACGTAAATAATCCTCGGTTATTCTCCCATTCTCTCGTTCACACTCACTTCATTATTCTCATTAATTTCATTTATTATTTATTTCTTTCTTACAAGTTTCTTCCATTATTCTTCATTTCACCTTCACCTTTGGTGAAAAAAAAAAAAAAACCCAGGGATCAAAACATCTCAACTAAATGTTCTATCAATTATCCTCGATTAATTGGAAAAATACCGGAAATTCCAGTTTGAAGAAATAACTTTTGAGTAAATTCTCACGCTTAATTCAAGAAAATGGGAAACGATTGAAGAAAATGAAAATTTTCACCAAATTTTAATTTATTATTGAAGATTTAGTTGTTTGTATTAATGGACCAATTGAGTGAACAATTCAAGCTTTGAAAAAAAGAGGAGAAAAATGTCAGATATCGTCAAATCAGTACTACAAATTAATCCCTTGTGTGCCATACTCATACTTTCGTCTACCATTTTGTTGTTATTTCAATGCTGCGCAAAATTGAAAAAGATAAGACCCCCCCCCCTCGCATTGCCTATTAATTAAATTATATCAATATTTATATAACTATATATATCACGCCTGTCCCATTTGCTCTTTTGTCGTCCCTTCATTTCTTCATTTTTTTAAACGTAGGTACACTTTGTTTTTTCATCAACAATCACTCGCGACATTCTTTTATTTTTACTCTCTCATTTTTCTTCAATGTCATACCCATTACATTTTTAAATCATTGTCCTGCACCCATGAACGCTTTATTCTTGTTTCTTCTCCCTTGTTTAAACTAGAGTCCAGATTATGCTGGTTTCTGAGAGCCCTTCTTTCCAATGAGAGATTTGTGGATATGTGGAATGACACCTGTAAAAGAGATGATAATGAGAATTAATTATTGATGGTGCGTTCGGTAGAGTTGATGGAAGGGGGTCTGTCTTTAATGGTGTGAAAAAGTAAAGGAAACGCACCTCCTCCAGCGATTGTTGCTTTGATCAGACTGTCGAGCTCCTCGTCACCGCGAATGGCCAATTGCAAATGTCTCGGCGTAATACGTTTCACTTTCAAGTCTTTCGATGCGTTACCCGCCAACTCAAGCACCTGCAAACATACAAAAATTCATATGAAACATTTATTTTATGAAAATTGTGTGGGAAATCGGTATTATAGCAATTTAAGGTATATCCTTATAAACCATATTTTTCTTAAAGTTGTCCCCATGTTTTTCGTAGATAATGTTTATAATAGTCCCCATCTTATGAGAAAGCGGTTCTTACGATGTTGTTAAGAAACTAAACCGTGATAGATTGTTAAATTCCGAATACGGTGAATTTTTTGTAAAATTGTGTAATACATAGTTTCTGCAATATTCAACAGCTAAAAAATGAAAATTTCGTGAAAACATTCATTATTTGATTCGAACAGCTATTGTTACCTGCATTAACAACACATGAGAATACAAAAAATTCAATTTTTCTGAGAATTCTGTTACCGAATTTCGATCAAGATATTTGAATACTTAAAAATATATCCATCCAAAAGTGGCGGGAACGGCGACCATATTGTGGCGTCAACAATACGCGTCATCGCAGTGCCCACACACTGTCTCAAGTCCCTCGACCATTCCCGGGGCGTTTCACGACGCCCCCCCCCCCCCCCCCTTCCCCTCGCAGCCCCCTCAACCACCTAACACACATAACCCACCTCAGCCGTAAGGTATTCCAAGATAGCAGCACTATATACTGCCGCCGTGGCACCGACTCGCCCATGGCTGGTTGTTCTGTTTTTCAGATGCCTGTGGATCCTTCCAACTGGGAACTAAAAAAAAAAAAACAAAAAAATCATTTCTTCCTGATCCTTCATCTCCCTAAACAAAAACCTAAAATAATTCTATTAGGATCACAAGATCAGCTGCAAAACGATGAATAATCCATCAATTTCATCTACAAACTGATGTTTTCGTTAAAGCCCTTGAATCATACTATCCATTCCAAAAACATCAATCCGAGGAAGCGTCAGCAGCTTTCAACAATATCGAACCGCCTTGGCCATCCAAGTCCCCGTCTCTCATATTCTTCCCGTTTTAATCACAATTACTGTTGCCTCAAAGCCAACCCCTCATCATGCCCCTGCCCACCCCCCGGTCCCCTAAAAATTTCCAAAACAGCGAGTGTGATGGGCGTTGAAAAAAAATATCGGGAATTTATTTGGAAATGTCGTCGTGGCCGCCGGACTGCGCACGGTATTTCACAAACTCTCGTATCGAACGCCTGGGCTTTGCCGAGAGCTTTGCGAGGTTTATACACGATATTTCATCATTCGACTGGGCTACGCCTATTCTTCATCAACAATTTCCCCTTTATTCATCCCAATTAATTGCCACAATTTAATTAATAATTGTTGCAAAAGCCGAGGGGTTAAGATCGCCCCCAGGGCCTTATCAACTCCAAAAATATATTCCCCACGTTTTCTAAAAAAATTCAATCGCTATCTTATTCCGACTCCCCCTCGAAAAATCATCGAATCATAAAAAGGAAAAAAAAATGTAATGAAAAATTTAATTGCCCAGTGAGTGCCCCCAATTAGGCCCTCGATTGAATTCAAATAGCCACAATGTACCCCCCATAAAAACCACCGAAACAAGGTATATAATAACAAGAATATTGGTGTGGGGGGGGG